CCTAAATGTATATCCCAAAATAAAAAACATAGTAAGAGACCTAAAAAAGAGTCATCATAGCTTAACCACCATGTAAAAGAAACAGTGAGGGACAAAAAGGCATCTTTCAAGAAGTGGAAGTCCAATCCTAGTGAGATAAATAGAAAGGAACATAAACACTGTCAAATCAAGTGTAAAAATGTAATAAGAAAAGCAAAAAAAGATTTCGAGGAACAGCTAGCCAAACTCAAAAAAAAAAAATAGCAAAAGGTTTTTCAAGTACATTAGATGCAGCAAGCCTGCTAAAAAAACAGTGTCCTCCCCTAGACGATCGAGATATAAAAGGAGCAATCAAGGACAATAAAGCCATTGCGGAGAAACTAAATGATTTCTTTGCTTCAGTCTTCACGGCTGAGGACGTTGGGGAGATTCCCAAATCTGCACCATCCTTTGTGGGTGATGAATCTGAGGAACTGTCCTGGATTAAAGTGTCATTAGAGGAGGTTTCGGAACAAATAGAAAATCTTAATGTTAACAAATCACTGGGTCCGGATGGCATTCATCCAAGGGTTCTAAAAGAACTCAAATGGGAACTTGCTGAACTATTATCTGTGGTTTGTAATCTATCCTTTAAATCGGCTTCCGTACCTAATGACTGGAAGGTAGCCAACGTGACACCAATATTTAAAAAGGGCTCTAGAGGTGATCCTGGCAATCACAGACCGATAAGTCTAACTTCAGTACTGGGCAAATTAGTCGAAACAATAGTAAAGAATAAAATAGTCAAGCCTGTAGAAGAACATAATTTGTTGGACAAAAGTGAAGATGGTTTCTGTAAAGGGAAATCATGTCTTACTAATCTATTAGAGGTCTTTGAAGGGGTTAACAAACATGCAGATAAGGGGGATCCAGTATACTTAGATTTTCAGAAAGCCTTTGACAGGGTCCCTCACCAAAGGCTCTTGTGTAAATTCCATGGCCATGGGATAAGAGGGAAGGTCCTTTCTTGGATTGAGAACTGGTTAAAAGACAGGAAACAAAGGGTAGGAATAAATGGTAAATTTTCAGATTGGAGAGGGGTAACTGGTGGTGTCCCCCAAGGGTCAGTCCTGGGACCAATCCTGTTCAACTTATTCATAAATGATCTGGAGAAAGGGGTAAGCAGCGAGGTGGTAAAGTTTGCGGATGATAATAAACTGTTTAAGCAGCGAGGAGTCCTGTGGAATCTTATAGACTAATTGAAGTGTAGGAGCATAAGCTTTCGTGGGCAAAGCCCCACTTCGTCAGATGCATGCAGATCGTCAAGACAGAAGCAGACTGTGAGGGACTTCACCATAGAAATGGTGTCCCTGGCCTCTGTTTGTCAGAGGCTGGGGAAGGATGGCAGGAGACAAATCATAGTCTTCGGTCCACCCCCTCTGGGGCACCTGGTGCTGGCCACTGTCAGCAGACAGGATACTGGGCTGGATGGACCATTGGTGTGACCCAGTACAGCCGTTCTTATGGTCTTATGTTCTTAAAGCTCCGATGGCCATTTTAACCATAGGGCTTTCTTGCGCAAGAAATTCATGTTGCCTGTCTACACTGGCCTCTTGCGCAAGAACAGTTGCGCAAAAAGGCTTATTCCCGAGCGGGAGCATCAGAATTCTGGTGCAAGAAGCCCTGATTTCATACATTAGAACGTCAGATTACTTGCGCACGAACACGTGGCCAGTGTAGCCAGGCAGCAAGTTTTTGCGCAAGAGCAGCCACTTTTGTGCAAGATCGCACCAGTGTAGACACAGCCACTGTAAGTTTACCCTTTCCAAGTGTGTTTTTGGCATGCACATTTCATAAGGTTTATGGCTCTTACACTTACTTACATTTAGTTCTTTGAGGAGTGAGTTTGAAAATGCTTTCCCGATCCTGGCTGGAGTAATCATCCTGCTGGGAACTTTTAGTTATCCATGTTCTATTTAGGGCTATGTCTACACTGGAGGGTTATTGTGCAAGAACGGCCTTTCTTCTGGAACGTATCCACACTGCCCACCTGTTCTTGCACAAGAAGCTTTACAGTACCGCGTGGTAGGAGAGGGCTTCTTGCACTAGAGCTACTCTGTGTTTTAACAGGTGTAAGCCCTCTTGCGGAGGAGCTCTTGCGCAAGCGGGCAGTGTGGACGCTTGGCAGGGATTTCTTGTGCACGAAAGCCCTATGGCTAAAATGGCCCTCAGCACTTTCTTGGGAAAAGAGAGCGTCCACACTGCCATGGATGCTCTTGCCCAAAAGCACAGCTCGCACATAGAAGTGTGGATATTTTCGTGTGCAAGAGTTCTTGCACAAGAACCCTTGCACAAGATGTTCTTGCACAAGAAGCTGCCAGTGTAGATATAGCCTAAATGTGGTGTTTTGATGGGGAAGTGCACCTCCGCACACCCTGTGATACACATAACACCTTGTGTTGTCACATGAAGGACCCATGTATGTGGGCACATGCCAGCCACACTGGGACTGCATGGCCCAAATGTCAGGCCCATTGTGAGTTCTGCCCGGGGGCTTGGAATTTCCATCACTGGGCCTGGTGGCAGGTTGCAGAACCAGGTGAGCCTGTCCCGCAGCCAAACCTGCTGGCATCACAGGAGGAAGTGGTGACAGGAAATCAAAGGACAAGCTGGGGGTTTTCTGTGTGTTGTAGGAGACCCAGGTGAGCCTGCAAAAGCGCGAGAAGGGGGCAGGACACAAATACCCCTCCCATACACCTGAATAGATAGATAGATAGATAGATAGATAGATAGATAGATAGATAGATAGATAGATAGATAGATAGATAGATAGATAGATAGATAGATAGATAGATAGATAGATAGATAGATAGATAGATAGATAGATAGATAGATAGATAGATAGATAGATAGATAGATAGATAGATAGATAGATAGATAGATAGATAGATAGATAGATAGATAGATAGATAGATAGATAGATAGATAGATAGATAGATAGATAGATAGATAGATAGATAGATAGATAGATAGATAGATAGATAGATAGATAGATAGATAGATAGATAGATAGATAGATAGATAGATAGATAGATAGATAGATAGATAGATAGATAGATAGATAGATAGATAGATAGATAGATAGATAGATAGATAGATAGATAGATAGATAGATAGATAGATAGATAGATAGATAGATAGATAGATAGATAGATAGATAGATAGATAGATAGATAGATAGATAGATAGATAGATAGATAGATAGATAGATAGATAGATAGATAGATAGATAGATAGATAGATAGATAGATAGATAGATAGATAGATAGAGGGTGTGTGTGGGGATAGCTAGGTGATGACCAGGGATAGGGGAAGGTGTGGGCATGGAGCGATTGGGGGGGATAGATTGAAGGGTGTATGGGGGCATGCACCAGCCTATTCAGTGCCATGCAACAGCCTATTCAAAGACTTCCCTCCCCACACACACACCCTCAAGCACCCTGCCTGCAGGAGTGGTGGCTCCCAGGGCTGGTTTCTCCAAACACAAAGGCTACGTCAATACTGGCATGATTTTTCCGAAAATGCTTTTAATGGCAAACTTTTCCGTTAAAAGCATTTTCGGAAAAGCATGTCTAGATTGGCAGGACGCTTTTCCGGAAAAGCACTTTTTGCGGAAAAGCGTCTGTGGACAATCTAGACAAGGCTTTCCGCAAAAAAGCCCCATCACCATTTTCGCCATTGGGACTTTTTTGCGGAAAACAGTACTATGCTGTCGACACTGGCCCTTTTGCACAAAAGTCTTTCGGAAAAAGACTTTTGCCCGAACGGGAGCAGCATAGTATTTCCGGAAAAGCACTGACAATCTTACATGAGATCGTCCGTGCTTTTGCGGAAATTCAAGCGGCCAGTGTAGACAGCTGGCAAGTTTTTCCGCAAAAGCAGATGATTTTGCAGAAAAACTTGCCAGTCTAGACACAGCCAAATAGTTGGTGACAGTCCCAGGGCTAGTGAGCAAGCTGCTGGGAAGAAGACAGGTGCCAGTAGCTGCTGCTCAGCCAGGTCATGGACTCTGCTGCTCTCAGCTGCTGCGCTGTATCTATCACCTGGGACAGAATCCTGTGTCTGGCTCAACGCAGCAGCTCCAGGGTCTCACCTCCCACTGGATCTCTCACTGCACCCCCCCTTCCCCCAGGGCAGAAGAGAACCAGGCCGCCTCGGTCCTTGTCAAAGGGCTGGGCCTGTCCTAGGCCTCCTCCAGCTCCAAGATGCAGCTGTCTCTGGGATGGGCATGAAAACGGCTGTCCATGCTGGGGCCTCACATCAGGTGCTGGGAAGCGGCCCCACCCCTCTTGGGGAACATAAGAACAGCTGTACTGGGTCAGACCAAAGGTCCATCTAGCCCAGTATCCTGTCTGCTGACAGTGGCCAGCACCAGGTGCCCCAGGGAGGGCGGACTGAAGACAATGATCAAGCGATTTGTCTCCTGCCATCTCTCTCCAGCCTCTGACAAACAGAGGCCAAGGACACCATTTTATCCCCTGGCTAATAGCCTTTTATGGACCTAACCTCCAGGAACTTATCTAGCTTCTCTTTAAACACTGTTCTAGTCCTAGCCTTCACAGCCTCCTCTGGCAAGGAGTTCCACAGGTTGACAACACGCTGTGTGAAGAAGAACTTTCTTTTATTAGTTTTAAACCTGCTCCCCATTAATTTCATTTGGTGTCCTCTAGTTCTTCTATTATGGGAACTAATAAATAACTTTTCTTTATCCGCCCTCTCTACACCACTCATGATTTTATAGACCTCTATCATATTCCCCCTCAGTCTCCTCTTTTCTAAAATGAAAAGTCCCGGTCGCTTTAACCTCTCCTCATATGGGACCCGTTCGAAACCCCTAATCATTTTAGTTGCCCTTTTCTGAACCCTTTCCAAGGCCAAAATAGCTTTTTTGAGGTGAGGAGACCACATCTGTACACAGTCTTCAAGATGTGGGCGTACCATAGTTTTATACAGGGGCAGTAAGATATTCTGGGTCTTATTTTCTAGCCCCTCCCCATTACGCTTGGCTGGGAGACTGCAGCCACCTCTGGGGTGGAGTGCGGGGCTGGCTATCCACTGTATATTAGGTGCAGAACAGCCGATGTACATGGAGTGGGTCGTCCCTCCCTCAGCTGCCCCGCCCTTCCCGCAGGGAGGGGCACGTGTTGGGGAGAAGAAGGCTCCCTGGACCTGGGGGCGGGGGGGCAGGGTCTGGTTCCTGAAAGTCTGGAGGGCGGGGCTGAGGGCTGTGGGAGGCGCCTATCCGTCCGAGAGCGAGGAGGGGGGCAGGGGCGGGTCTCTCCGTTGTCCCCGCCCTGGGAATAGCTGGTCCCTCCCGCAGGTTAAAATACCTGGAGCCAGGCTCCAGCGCCAGCAGCTCCGTCTGCCCGCCCCCGAGCCTCGCGACCGGGCCCGATCCTCTCTGACAGCTGCACGAGTTGACCCGTGACTGCCCCGACTCCTGCGGCTCGCGCCCCGCTCCCTCTTCGCCATGGGGGACCCTTTCCACCGCTCGCTGCTGCGCACCCCGCGTGGCCGGTTCCGTGTCTCGCTGCCCCCGAGGGGCGAGTTCCTCCTGGGGACCCCCGAGCCTCTGAGCCCGGCGGGTGCCGCTGGTGAGTCCGGGGCTTTTGGGGGCAGGACCCGGATCCCTTCACAGCGCCGTGGAGAGGGAGGAGATGTCTGGGATTCCTGGCTTCTGCGCTCACGTCCGGAGGGGCGAGCCCAGCTCGCTGGTTGCAGCTGGGGCTGCTGAGGGTGCAGGAAGGGGAGGCAGGTCCAGGGACGCTGCAGCCTCCAGCACTAGGTTAGCTGCCAGCCTGAGGGAGGGTCAGGCCGGATAATGCCTCGGGCAGGGCAGCGCAGCCAGGGCAGGGGATTCCCGGGTCCCAGACACCCAGTGATGAACGAGGGGGCCCCATTGGCCTGGTGAGAGGGGCAGGTCCCTGAGAGCCCAGGATTGGGCCCCACCACCTAAGGGATTCCCCCAGTGATGTTAATTGTGGCTGCACGGAGGTCCAAGGGGCAGAGGCCAGCAGGCTGGGTCTAGCACCGGGCACTGCGGGCCTGCCTGACCCAACTGTGATTTATCTGCTAAGACCTAGCCAAAGATGGTCCCCCTGAATCAAATGTCAGGCTCAGGGGCTGGGCTGCTGTGTGCCCTGGGCAGGGACAGCCCCTTCCCCAGCCTTGTGTGTGGACACATGAGATGGCCCCCAGTTCCAGGCTGGCCCTGCAGAGCCCATGCCAGCAGGATGCAGGCATCCAGACCTGGCTGGCTCTGCGCAAACAGGCTCAGGTGTTTTGGTCAGATATGCAGCTCAGGCTGGGGTGATGACTGGGAGTGGTGGAGGTCAAATCAGTGGGACCACAGGCCCACGGGGAAAGACCCCCAAGCTGTGGGTTAATATTTGCCCTGTGTTAGAGCAGCTAAGTGGCCCCTCCCTGTGTGTGAGTTCCTCCCTGAAATTAACCTTTAGCCAGGGCTGCCTGTCTGCACTTGACCTGGGCGGCTTGACTCGCAGGTCAGGCCAGGGTGGGACCCTGGTGGGCTCCCTGTGCTCCTAGCTGTTGTCTCACCCCCAAAGTAAGTCAGAACAAGCTAAAGTAAAACCAAAACCACCAAATTTAAAAAAACCAAACCATGTCCAGGGCAGAATGGCTGCAGGAGTACAAACAGCAGGGGCCCAGCAGCAGAGTGGCTAGTGCAGACGTGTGGGAAGGCACGAGCCTGAGCTTGACTCCACAGGGCCCTCATGTGTGTGGCCACGGGGACAAGTGGTGAAGGGCTGAATCTGCTTTAGGGCAGGTTTTAAGGAACCGTGTGCCAGAGCTCTGGGTCTGTCAGCTCTGGACTTGGTGGCTGGGGAGGCTGAGGAGTTCCTGCATTGGTGGACTCAGGCACAGGCTGGACAAAGCCCCATCAGAGACAGGCTGGGTTCCCTGGTCCTGCCTCCTTGGGCAGGGCTGAGCGAGATGAATGCCAAGGCCCTGAGCACAGCCTGCACCATCGAGAGGGTGTGAATGTGACCTTGGCTGTGCCTTGTCTTCCCCTGGAAGGTGGAGTGAGAGGGAGCAGCTAGAGGGCAAGGCTGCTCTTGCCATCACTGTGTCCACACAGATTTAATCAGGACGAGCAGCTGCACTGTAAATCAACACCTTGGCTTAATCGCTTGACTTGGCTACACTGGCGATTCAATTGTATTACGTCTCTGTACTGTGCAGCGCTGGCGCTATGTGGGGTCCATGACACAGGCACTACAGTGCACATGTTGACAGTGGGGAGTGGCTGCTGGGGGTGGACAAGCACCAGGCCTTCTGCTCTGCTGCAGAGAACTGGGCTACACACCATAACAACCAGGTGAGCAATAAATACAGCTCCCCAGGCCACAGCACCGAGATGCAGGCCTCGCGCTATCCACAGCTGTCTCCTAAGCAGTCCGCAGCATCCTGGAATCCACAGCCTGGAGAGAGGCCCACTGGCCCGAACCAGCCAGCCAGAGGTGCCTGAGCCAGTCAGCCGGAGAGGCCCGAGCCAACCAGCTGGAGAGTCGCAGCAGCCTGGTGGTCAGAGCAGTCCCCTGGGGTGCAGGAAAAGGAGGCTCTAACCTTTGCCTGCCTTAATGCCAGGCTGTCAGGGAGGTTGGGGGGCAGCTCCCTTGCCAAAGCTGAGCCCGAGGTACAAAGCAGCCTTGTGAGGAGTGAGACGTGAGTCCTGCTGGCTCTCACCCTGCCCCCTGGGCTAAGAGATGCTAGGGCAGGTGTTCTCAATCTTGGGTTGAACCAACCTGAGTTGGGTGACCAGGGCCGGCTTTAGGAAGTGCAGGGCCCAATTCGAACAATTTCAATGGGGCCCCACAGCAATATTGGTTGAGCAACCCCCCCCCCAAATCCCCAGCTACCTCCCCTGCAAAGCCCAGGAGGTAGCTAACACCCAGCTACCTCCCCACCCAGGCCGACGCCCCCTCCCGCAGCGCGCCC